GGAAAAGATTGAAGTTGTCAATAACTTCATCTTAATTGGATCTACAGTCAATACAGTTGGTACCAGCAGACAGGAATTCAAAAGACGTATAGCACTGGGAAAGCCTTCAGTCAGGGACCTCTCTAAATTATTGAGGAGCAATGATGTTAGTTTGAGGACTAAGGTGCAACTAATTCAGATCATGGTCTTTTCAATCACTTGCTATGCATCTGAGAGCTGGACAACAAATAAGGATGACACAAGAATTCGTGCCTTTGAGCTGTGGTATTGGAGAATAATATGGAATATCTCATGGACGGCCAAAAGAACAAACGTAAGTCTTGGAGAAGGTACAGCCAGAGTGCTCCTTGGAGGCAAAGATGGTGGGACTTCATCTCACATACTTTGTACATGTTACTAGAAGGACATCATGCTTGGAAAGGAGGGTTGATGGCAAAGGAGAAGATGACCTTCAACCAAGTGGATTGACCCAGTGACTGTAGCAATGAGTTTGAGTGTGTCAGATTGTGAGGATGGCACAGAATAGGACAGGGTTCAGATCTGTTGTTCGTAATGTCACCATGAGTCATACTCAATGGCACCTGATAACAACATGCTGTTAAAATGTACGATTTAATGGCCTTTAGTATATTCATGTGCTTGAGAACTCATCATCACTACTTATTTGAAACTCTTTTCATCACTCCCCTCCCAATAACCCTTAGCCTTCACGCCACTACTTCTTAATTTGTCCCAGTCTAGGTAATCATATATCTGATTCCTCCCTCCAGACTTGCCTCTTCTGAAGATTTCATTGAAATGGAGTTGTCTTTGTGACTGGTTTATTTCACTTCACATATTTTCAAAGTTATTCATGTTGTACTGTGCTCGTCCTCTGTCCAAGTAATATTCCATCAGGCGATGCACCACCACTTATCAGCTGAACATCTGTGCCTCTATTTTTGGGCTATTATCAATAATAATGGTATGATCATTCAGGTATAAATTTCTGTGTGAACATGTATTTTCATTTCTCTTTAGTATGTACCCTCATCTCATTGCCTTCAAGTCAGAACCAACTCATAGCTGACCTTCCACTGGGTTTCTGAGACAGTAAATTATGCAGGAGATTGCCCATCTTTCTCCCTGGGAACCATTAATGGATTCCAAGTGCCTGAGAGGTACTGCTTTTGGGTGAGTGTGTAACTCTGTACACACTAAGCCACCGGAGCTCCCTAGAGATATACATACACCAAGGAGTGGAATCCCTAGATGCCATGTTAATTCTGCAGTGGGCGCACAGCCACACTTGTGAGGGTGACACCGGGCCACTACCTGCATCTTTTCGAGTCGTTTTCAATGGTGACAAAAGCATTTGAGCATCTAGTTCAAGCACATTTCGTGTACAACCCAAGCATGCTCCAACCTGAGCTAAAAGAAAAACACCAAAAAACTACAGAGACAAAAAAATAAATAAAATAAAAAAACCTCAAACTCATTGCTATCAAGTCAGAACTGACTCATCGTTGACCCTCCAGTGAATTTTTAGAGGCTGTAAACCTTATAGGAGATTGACCATCCTTTTCTCATGAAGGAACTGGAAGATTCAAATCCTCTTCCTTTGAGTAGACACTTTAACTCCTTAACCACCAGAGCTCACCCTGACCCAGTGTGTACCATTTCCACCTGCTGTACGCATCCAAAGTTATGCTTCAATGGACCAGAAAGAACTTGTTCATTTTATGATGTCAGGTGGCCTGGTCAGTTGACACTCTTGGTGAGTTGTTCAGCTTTTGTTAGTGCCCAGCAGTAAGCTAGTAGCTATTTCTCAAAACAAAGCCTACTGGGTTACAAGTTACCCTGTTAACACAAAGAAATGTGGTTTGAATTCACTGGCTGCTAAACAGGAGAAAAATGTGCAATCTCCTCCCATGCTATTTTGCAGTCTTGGAAACCCCACTGGAGGGCCAGCTGTGAGTCAGTTCCAACTTAACGGTTCACAATAACAACAGCAAACATCTTCAGAAGAGGATATGGATTTTCTTCAAAACTTGAGCAATATGTGCTGTGATTTTTAAAATGGCATTTGCAGAGGCTCCAAAAATACACTTCAATTACCATTGCATTTGATGCTTCAAACTAAAAATTAGCTTCTGGTTGTAACCTGGACTTGTTACACTGCCTTCATTTACTCTAGCTCCTACTCACATAATTTAACCTTATAGATGACTTAGTAACTGGATTAAAATAACAACTAAAGTGTGACATGTTACCTCCAAAACTCAAAAAGGTTCACCAACCTTCTGTGCTTTGAGTAATAAATGGCCATAGTCTTTCACCTTTAAGATTATTTTGACATATTCCAGACCAATGAACCTCCAGAAATTTACTGAAATGATAGTTTCCTGATTTTTTCCCACTTCGCTATTTCAAAGTTCACAGAGCAAATTAGTTTTCCATTCAAGCAGTCATAGCCATTTTAATATACTGTCCACAATACCTACAGTGGAATCACAGCTTATCCACCCACTCACCCACCACCACACCCCCCAGTCATTTTCATTCCCATTAATCCTTCCATCCTATTCCTTCCTGCCTTGAGGGAAATGGTGTCTTTTATTTTTAATTTTATAAACCTGTTTATTTTAATGCTCGTGTCCCTAGTGGTTGTTCACCTAGAGGTCTGGAATTGAGTCACTGGGACTGACTCTGTTCCATGTTTGAAGGTTGGCTAAGGGCCACAGACTTGGGAACTGCATCAATCTCTAGTGGACCTTCCAAACTATTGTCCTTTTATCCATAAATGAGAGCGAGCTGGTCAGTATGGAGACCAGATATAACCAGTTGCCAAGTATTCCAAAATTACAGATTTGACATTGAGGGAGTAAATACGGTGGATTCATGGACCTACTTAGTCCAATTGCGATAAACTTTGAGCACCTGAGCACTGCTTTAGCTGATGGACAATGCCATTTTGGGACCCTAGCAGTTAGCATAAATTCAGAGCTAATAACCATACTATATCTATTTTCCCAGTATATATTTACTTCAGAAAATGGTCAGTCCTTTTGGCCCAGGCTTGGAAGGACATTTACAGTACAGCTGACCCTCCATACCCAGACTCCACATCCATGGCTTAAGTCAACCCCCAACTGAACAAAACCCGGCATGGGGAGGCGGATGGATGTCTTTTAAAAAAGGCAATTTACCAACAATGAATGAATGGAATTCCAAAATCTCTGTAGATGTTCATTGAAATGAAAAATAAACTAAATTAATAAAAAAAAAAGGCAATTTACTTGTGACTCCAACTTACTCTCAAAAAATAGACAGGCCAATAAAGTTACCAGTAGTAACATCAAGAAAGCACTCACTCTTTAGAATAACCAGCCATACAGGGTCAGAAGAATATCTGCTCAAAGATAAAGCCTTGAAAGCAGGAAGGAGTAGAATCAAGGGTTAATGGAAGAGGAAAAATAGGGAGAAAGGGGAAGAGTGATTACACTTTGGGTGTTGTAATCAATATAAAATAGTATGTTTATGAACGGATGAATAGAAACTCAATTAGGTCCTCAAAGCAATCCCCAACAGGTTAAGAGGGAGCACAAAGTGCTGTTTACGAAGCATTTACACTGTGTTAGGGACTATAAATAGTCCAGAGATTTGTTAAAGACTACACAAGGTATACATAAGTTATACCTAAGGGTTTACATAAGGGACTTGCACATCCCTGGGGTTTGGTATCCACAGGGGTCATGCAATCTCCCCCAGATACTGAAAGATGACTGTATATGCTTCACAATTACCATAAAGGTCTCTGGGTCTGGAAACTGAATGAAGACCATGACTCTTTCCTTGTTGACAAAGGTTAGGTTTTTGGTCACCAGATCTGATTACATTTCCTTTCACAAATATATATTGATGCATCCTAGTGCCAGAGGCTGTGTAGTTCAAACACACCAGCTGCTCCATGGGAGAAAGATGGGCAATCTCCTCCCAAGGGATATACTGTCTCTGAAAAACCACTGGAGGATCAGCTCTGAGTTGGTTTTGAGTCAACTGTACACAACAATCCTAATACAAGATCCCTGGTGACACACTGGGTTACATATTGAATTGCAAACCAAGATTGGTTCACATACACCAGCAGATCAGTGAGAGAGAGATGAGCGGGATCCACCTTGTATGGAAAGTCACCAGGAGTCAGAATTGGCTTGATCATGGAATGTTTGGTTTGCGCCAGAACCAGGCCATGATCTTGCAATTACTTGCTATGCATCAGAAAGCTGGACTATGACTAAGGATAACAGAAGAACTGATGCCTTTGAATTGTGGTGCTGGAGAAGAGGACTGAATATACCCTGGACTGCCAAAAGAACCAACAGGTCTGTCTTGGAGAGGGTGAAGCCAAGTTGCTCCTTAGAGGCAAGTATCATGAAGGTCTGTACAACATATGTGGGGCATGTTGCCAGGAGGGACCAGAACTTTGGAGAAGGGTGGAGGGACAGCACAAGAAAGACCTTGGATGAGATGGATTGACACAGTAACTGAGATATTAGGGGTAGGTGTGCCAGAGACAGTGAGACTGGCTCAATATAGGGTAGGATTCAGATACTGTACATAGAATCGCTATGAGTCACAGTCGACTTGGTGGCACATCACAACAACAGTACCCGCTACACTTCCATTTATTTTTTTTCTCCAAACTATCAAAGTGAATTCTCGAAAATTGGAATCAAACTGTGAAATGGGGATTGCCCTTTTTATTGGTCACAAGCCTTTTATCATTATTTGGATTTCTCTAAAATTGCATAGTTTTGTGGGAGAAGGAAAAGGACATAATAGTTTTACTATGAAAGCCATTTCCCAAAAATCCCCGAGTAAGAAAAATAGGATCACACACAAATGTATTAACTCTTTGTATTTTACAAAAATAAGGTCAGTCTTTCACAGTAAGTACTACTACCGTTTTCAATACATTTTTCCTAGTTGAAAGTCCTCTGAAGTACCCGAAGGAATCATCACCCTTCTGCATTCACTTTTTCAGAAGGTACTGTTTTGGAGGCAGATCTGTTACGGATTCTTTTTCTCTTTTTTCTAGAAGCAGATGATGGTTTTGCATCTTGTGTTTTTTTCTTTTTCTTCAAACAGCTAAGAGGATTGGGGCCACTTATTCTTTTGCGCTTCTTTCTTCTTTTCTGGTCAGGGGTTTTCACTAAGCCCTGCTCTTCTTTGAGCTGCCTGATGCTTTGTTTTTCGTGCCCAGAGACAAGCTGACCAGCCTCAACAGCTTTAACAAAAGCAATTGTTTTGGCAGAAGGTTTGTCCAAGACTATAGTGTTCTGAATAATAAACAAGAGAGGGACTCCAGGCTGCTTCTTTACTTTCACAGACAGATTCTGGTCCTATTAAAAAGAAAAAATATTGACACTGTAACAATTAAAGTTGTTACTGGGTGCCATCTACCAGGTTTCTATGCACAGTGACTCTATATACAACAAAACAAAGTAAGGTGCATTAAAACAGAAGGGTTCCTAAAAACTTTAAGAGAGGAATATTTTTTTTTAAAAAGATCATAACCAAAAACAGTCCAGAATAAGAGGTGTGTATAGCAAAGTGACCTAGGGGAAGGCTTGGGGGAAGGAAATGATGCAACAGTGAATGTATGAGTTTGGTTTTTTTTTTCTTTTAAAAAAGTGAACTGGGGGTTTGGGAGTAAAGTGCGCAACCATGAATGAATGAAAATCCAACTTGTTTGTAAACTTTCATAAAAATAAAAAAAAAAAGGGAAACAAAAAAAATCATAGAGCACACGAAGGAAAAAAGAGATCATAGTAACTTTCTTAAATATAAGACAATTAGTATGTCTCCGATGAGGCTCTTTTATGATAAAGAAAAATAAAAACCATATAAATTGTGTAAATGTTTTAATCAATAATTCAACATTCTAGGGCAAATTATTAACAAATGCAAGGGTCAATGTTAGCTGGTTTCCCCCATTTCTACTCTAAGCTATGCCAAAGAGGCTGAGGGAATACAAAGGAAGTAAGAACTAGCTATCTTGGATTCTTGATTCAACTCTGCCAATTAAGCAATCTTATAATTCTGAAAGTATATTTAAGTATATTATTTGTGAATGTCTTAATTAATATTAATTCTGAGCAAGTTATTTCTGTCTGCCTGACAGTCATTAAAAGCCTGAAATGGACCCAACTGGTGGTAAAGTCTTAACATGTTACAACCCATGCCTTCTGAGAATAGGAAATACAGTACAAAAAATGTTCATGAACATAGAATAGAAAATGTTTCTATTTTCCTTTTTAAAGCCCTAAAATGTAGCACCACATTTCTATTTAAAATTTTAACATCATTTATTTTACATTTTAACATTATTTATGTAATTCTTATTTTAAAATCACCAGTACTAAGCCAAAAAAAAAAAAAATCAATAAATATGCTAAAATTTTCACTCAAATTCTCAAAGGGCAATTGTTTTTACTGAATGAAAATTTTTAAAAAATCTTTAGAGTATGAACACTTCCACTTAATTCTTTCTGCCTGAAAGAATTCCACAGGAACTGAGCTGAAATGATTACAAACTGATGCACGGTTATAAAGAAGTATCACCTGTGTTGCCATAAAATAATGATGAGGATTTCCCCCCTCGATCATGGAAAGCAGGCATTCGGATCCACTCACTGGGGTCTTAAAATGGGGACAATGTCGAACTTGGCATTTCTGTGCAATGAGTTTAGCCCCATATAAGTCTTTTCCCAGTGTTTCTAACTCCTTTAACACACATCTGAAAGAAAATGGTATTAGTGTAATTAGTGGTCTACAATTAATTACAGCAGAAACCTGAATGAATTACAGCAGTTGCCTATATAAATTTAAAAAAAAAAAACCAAAAAAAAAAAACCCAAACCCAAACCCAGAAGCAGCAGCAAATAGTACTACTAGGTCACTCCAGGGGAGTAGTCCATAGAGAGCTGTGTTGCTAATCGAAAGCATCTCCATCGGTTCAAATCCTCTAGCTGTCAGAGAGATGAGCAATCTCCTCCCATTGGAATTTGTGACCCCAGACACTGATGAAGGATCATTATAACGTGCTGATGAATGTGAAAGTGTGTGAGAACATTACAATCTCAGTTTGTCACATACAATAAAAGCCAACATTTACTGAGTACTTACCACGTTCTCGTCAGCATGCTAAGTGCCCTTTCTACACAGTCTCAATTTCAAAACAACCTTGGAAGTTATGCAGCTTATTTTGAAAGTATCCCCTTTTAGAGATCTTATTCTGGGAGAATTTGGATAACACGACAATTTCAGACAAATAACAGATAATTTTAGTCAGAAGTCCTAGAGAATAAATAGTTGGAAACGAATCAAAAATTAAGCTCATCTTAAAGGGTAAGAGCAGGAAATAGTCCAACTATTCCATAATGGCAAGCTGTACAGCTGAGAGGGAAGTCAGTGGGTACTGCGGCTTGTCAAAATAGTACGCAATGCTGGCACAGAGTAGATGTTACAAAGTCTTTATCAATTGAATCAAAATCTTGTACAAGAGTCATTAAGTGCAATACATTGAATTCTCACAATAACCTGACTGGTATTACATTTTATTAAAAAATGGTATCTTACTTGAACCTACAATCAATACCATCCATATGTACCAGCAATCAAGAAGTCAAAAGATATACTGTATTGGGAAAGTCTGCTGTCAGGATTACTTCCCCAAAGCCATGAAGTACAACGATGTCAGCTTAAAGACCTAGGAGCACCTGATTCAAGCCACGGTCTTTTCAAACACCTGCATATGCATGTATGAGCTGTACAGTTAATAAATATGGCAGAAGAAGGATCCATGCCTTTGAGCTGTGGTGTTAGAGAAGAGCATTAGTTGTCCCAGGGACTGCCAAAGGTGAGCAGGTGTGCACGTGCACACGCACACACCCACACATACACATCTTGGAGAAAGCGCAGGCTCAGAGCACTTGGAGGCAAAGTTGGAGAACCTTCATCTCACATACTTTGGGCATGTTGTTTGAAGGGCCATTTTTTGGAAAAGACACGCTTAGAGAGGTGTAGGGTCAATTCAACCAGATGGACAGACATAGTGGCTGTCACCATGAGATCAAGTATATCAGAGATAAGGATGGCACAGGATAGGACAGGGTTCAGGTATATTGTTCACAGGTTCACTACGGACAATAATTGTACATTCAAGTAAAATAAAATTCCTAGCTTCACTCTTTTCTCCATTTGTCACACAACACTGTTTATCTGCCCAGTTGTGAGGATTTTTGCTTTATATTCAGATGTCACCCAGAGTGAATCTATGGTCTTTGACTTTCCTCTGTAAGTGCTTCAAGTCTTTCTTACTTTCAGCCACGTTAATTCATCTGCATATCACATGTTGTTAATAAGATCCCCTGATGGTGGGTTTGTTCTTCACATAGCCCAGCTTCTCAGATTATGTGTTCAATGTTCTGACTAAATAAGGCTGGTGAAAGGCTACAACCCAGATGTACACTTTTCATACATTATGTATGCATGTATATAGTACACTATGTTCTAGAGTTCCCATTCTTTGAAATGTGATCCATAATTTGTAATGATCCACACAGTCAAATGCCTTTGCATAGTACAAAGCACAAGTAAACCTTTTCCTGGTATGCTTTGTTTTCAGCCAAGATCTAACTAGTAGGTCAGTAACTAACTAGCAAACCACTTCTCATCCAGTTGATTCTAACTCAAAGCATCTCCATGTGTGTCAGAGAAGAAATGGGCTCCACTGGGATCTCCGTGGGTTTTTGGTGGTAGATGAAAGACTAGGAACGTTTCATCCAAAGCTCCTCTGGGTGAGCATGAACCTTCCACCTTTCAGTTAGCAGTTTTAACCCTCTGTCCTACTCAAGAACTCCATCAAGAAAAGAAAGGAACATGTTAAGATGAATTCAGGATATTCAATCGGTCAAAGACTGACACATACTACAAAAAAATTCTTCTTCCTTAAAAACTGACGTAGTAAATAAAAGGGAGAGGGCTGTTAGAGTGACAAGACTTAAAAGATAGAGAAATCAAATAGATCTTCATTTTAAAAGGCATCAAGATACCAAAGATTTGACGGAACAATGTCTCAAAGAACTCATCAGTAAAACAGAAAAAGTCATCATGGCGGGAACGGTCAGCGAAAAAGGAAAATCCAAAATGAAATGGTGTGACACAGTGACTATAACAACAGGCACACACATGGGGGGATCCTGAGGATGGTGCAAGATAGGAGATGTTTTCATCTGTTGTTCAGAGGGTTGCTATGTTGTTGTTATGCATCATATCAAAATCAACTCATAGCTGACCCTCCAGCAGGTTTTCAAAAGCAGTAAATCACAGGGTCACCACTGCCAACACCTACGAACAACGTATGGGGCATGGTATTTCCCACTATTTCACAAGCATTTGAAAGTGGACAATGAATAAGGAAGACAGAAGAAATGATGGCTTTGAATTGCGGTGATGGGGTAAAAAGTGTCACATGTACCATGGACTGCAAAAGACCAGCCAGTCACGGAGGAAGTGCGGCCAGAATGCCCCTTAAAAACAAGGAAGTTTAAGACTTCACTCTCACAATTAAAGGCAGGTTAGCAGGAGGCGCCAGTTCCCAGAAAATGGCATCACATTTGGAAAAGTAGGTGGTCAGTGAAGGAGAGGAAGACTCTCAAAGAGATGGACTGACACTGTGACTGCAACCATGGGTTTAAGCAAAATAGGACGTGAAGATGGCGCTGGATCAGATCTTTCATACATACAAGGTCGGCAAGAGTCGGAGCCAACTCAAGGGCAGTTAACAATGTTTCCGGATACAGTATATCGTCGGTACAGGCATACTAGACCTTCTTTAATGCTAAAAGCAGCCTTACAAGTCATCATTGTTGTTGTTATGTGCCATCAAGTCACTTGTGACTCACAGTACAACAGTCCTAAACTCTGTTCTGTCCTGTGTCAATCACACTGTCTCTGATACACCCATCCCGATTACCCTAGTCACTGAGTCAATCCACCTCATAGAGGGCCTTCCCCTCCTGCGCTGTCCCTGCACCCTATCAAGCATGATGTCCTTCTCCAAGGACCGGTCTCTCCTTACAACATGTCCAAAGTATGTCAGACGAAGCCTCAGATTCTTGCCTCCAAGGAGCAGCCTGGTTTAACCCTCTCTAGGATAAATCTGTTTGTTTTTTTGGCAGTCCATGGTACATTAAATACTCTTTTCCAGCACCAGAGCTCAAAGGCATCAACTCTCCTTCTATCCTTCCTAGTCATTGTCCAACTCTTTGATGCATAGCAAATGATTGCAAGGACCATAGCCTGTATTAGACACACCTTAGTCTCCAAAGTGACACCACTGCTCTTCAGTACTTTGGAGAGGTCCCAAACAGCAGACTTTCCCATCGCAATACGTTTTTTGATTTCTTGGCTACTGGTGCCAAGAGCGTTGACTATGGAGGCAAGCAGATCAAATCTGTGAACAATCTGAATCTCTTCACCATCCATCCTGATGTTGCCAATTGGTCCAGTGGTGAGAATCTTTGTCTTCTTGACATTGAACCTCAATCCATATTGGAGGCTGCAGTCTTTGACCCTCTGCAGCAAGCATTTCAGGTCCTCCTCAGTTTCAGCAAGCAGGGTTGTGTCATCTGCATGACGCAGATTTTTGATAGATTTTCCACCAATCTTGACCGCACATTTCTCCTCATAGAGCCCAACCTCCCGGATGATCTGTTCTGTATACAGGTTGAAAAGGTATGGAGACAGGACACATCCCTGGCGTATGCCCCTCCCAATTTTGAACCACGCAGTGTTTCCTTGCTCTGTTCTGAAGACTGCCTCTTGGTCCAAGTATAGGATTTGCATTAGCACGATCAAGTGTTCTGGTATTACCATTCTTCTCAGAGTCAGCCAGTTTGTTATGATCCACACAGTCAAACGCCTTTGCTATTATCCCTATTTTAGCCCACACAGCAGCAGAACAGAATGGTCCTCCTTGGGTTTCGAGGCTGTAAAGTTTAAAGGAAGGAGACAGCCAGGTCTTTCTCCCATGGTGAGCCTCGGGTACCAGATGAACACTTAACCACTAAGTCACCAGGACCCCTAATCCCAGTGCACCGATGAGACATCCTTCTCACAGAGGTCAAGTAACTTGTATGATGAAATAGCAGAGCTGGTAGGACCATCCCCAGGATTAGAAGTGAGAATCATCGGAGTGCGGAGCACACGTTCTCGTTCGCCAAGCTAACTGCGGGTAAACACTGCCCACATTTCCTGCGTCCAGTGCGCGCCTCTCCTGCACCCGCCAACTCTTGGCGGGTTCCCAACCCGGCTCCCCCACGCCCCACCCCCGAGCCGCCTGGCCCCGCCCCACGACGCCCGCCAAGCCCCGCGCCTGCGCCCCCGTGGCCCCTACCTGGTGGTGCATAGCTGCGTCTCCGCCATGAGGTATCGCGGCAGCTGCTCTCGCAGCTGGATGCGGCCCCGCAGCGCCGCCTGACAGAAAGTGCCATCCAGCAGGATCTGGTAGGGCTCGCGAACTCCGAAGTTGTTGCGGAAGAAGCTGAGATGCTTCTTGGCGTGTTTCTGCCTTGTGATCTTCATGCCTGGCCTCCCGGGACCGAGGCCACCCGACCAGGAAGCGAAAAAAAATGCCCACCCACTAGGTCCCAGCAATGCCGGTTTCCCCCGGAAGTGGAATGCTCGGAGTCCCAGAACCAAATGCCCTCAAACCCACCCCCACCCTCCCAGGGTGCCGCCCACCAATGATGTCACGCAAGGCGAGGGCGCGATTCGTCTGCGCTGCTCGCGCTCTAAGGGGTGGGACCTGGAGGCGGAGCTTGAGCCTTCGCGGTAAAAACCGAGTGTGCTAGGCTGTACAGGGACGCACATGCGCAGTGTTTGGCACTGCAAAGACCCATGTGATTTTGTTACCTACCGCTGAGCTTCTAAAAGCCTAGGTTGAAAAACATAATTGGAAAAAAAGGTGAGAAAATAATAATAATGAGCTTTAATATATTAGAGACACTATTCTGGCCTATGTTCTTTCCTTTTTTGTTTTAAGTTAAAACCTCTTTTTTTTAATTATTAAATTTTATTAGTTTTAATGAACATTTACAGATTTTGGGTTCTCATTCATTCATTGTTGCACTGTTTTCTCTACGCTCCTCCCCAGTTCGTTCTTCTTCCCCACCCCTCATGTCTGTTTTAATTGTCCAATTGCCACAGTGCTTGTCAAAGCCAGTTCTGATTAATCTCCTTTGTCAGTGTGTCCTTTGCCATTCCCTATCTCTCCTCCCTGAGAGAGACTTCACCCTAATTCATAAGGAAAAGGGGATGGCATATTTTCTTAGCTACTTCCTGCTGAAAAGGGACGCTGTGGGTATAAGGGTGAAGATGTTCTCTCACTACTCTAAAGGGCCCCTTTGGCAGTAGGAAACACATAGACTGTTATGGAGATTGATTTTGGAATTTAGATGCACTGTTATTCATTGTGCTTAGCCGTACATGTTCACATCCTTGAAGATG